CTCAAAGACAGCCATAACATTATGTTTTTTTACAAGTGTATGTAAACTTTTGACCACAACTGTATATTGTTGGAAAGAGCAGAGTCTGGGCTTTAAATTGATGGGCTACTTCTTGTATGGTTTGGATCGTTTTCCCCAACATTGGTGAACTGAAAATGAAATGGTTATCAAGTGGAGTTTCTGCAGCTCTTGGTACTCGGGGGGTGGGGGGCTCGGCGCTCGTGCTTTGTCTACRCTGTAATATACACTCTTAACACGTTTTTACTTTTGCATAAAACTCATGACAAACGCCTACATACCTACCAAACGCAAGCGTGAGCTTTTATAGCTAAGTTTTCCCTGTAATGCTATGATCCACTGCTGTCAACTTTCCTCCTAATCAAGAGGAAAATGGATAAAAAACTAATTACTCTATCATATCTGCTGGTTAGTGGACACAACGGCACACAACAGAACTCACGTTTTACACCAGTAGCTCACAGACGCTTTAACTTTTGTGACTTTTTCACGGACTAGTACTAGCAGCTAACGCTAAAAACAAAGGCAGTAAGCTGGAAGTGGAAGGGAGGAGCGTGGCAGGAATTTTAACGGAAATACGTCATCAATGGCCGTGGCATATAGGCTATTGAGCAGTCTGGGAGCTGGAAGGGGGACAGGGTGTGAAGCGCCTCGTTTGAATTTAAAAATGAGTTGATCTGAGACACACGTCAGAAATGGGGTGAAAGAGACGCTTGTAAAGATGCAATAAGGAGGAATTTGGAAGAAAGCATTGAAGTTCCACTTTATATAGACTGAATGATTTAAATGCGAAAAGAAGGATTTAAAAGCATATGTCTCCTTTAAATGGATGGTGATAAATGAAGCATTGGCATAGTCGTATAACAGGAATACTTTGACTTTTTTATGTGTATTGCTCACGTAAGTCATTGTCACAAACAGCAAACAAAACAAACTGAAAATCATCTTCTCTTTGACTATCATCTTTGAATTCAGCAGTTTTGCATAAATATTACTTTGCCCCGTTTTTATACTAAAGGATTTTTTTTTCCTTCTTAAACTTTTTAGGTTMATTGATATCAGATGCAAGAAATCAAAAAGCAAAGCTAACACTGTAATTACCACCTGGAATTCAAACAAGTTTCTTAAAACAACACTGCATCAGAGGACAAGGGGGGGTTGAGCACACCCTTTTCAGCAATGTTAGTTCTGCGAGCGCTCGCTCCACAACAGGGCCAAAGAGTTCAATACACAGGAGAGGAGGCCTGCGACACACACTCGCAGAGCGCCGCAAAACTGTGTGCTCAGATCGCAATCAGTTCTGCAGATGCTAGACCTGCCTCGCTCCTTCCCAGGAATCCCTTCTGAGGTTTCCAGTATCAGGACTCCAAAAGCCGTTAGGCAGCTTCATGTTTCTTCATGCCTCGGGGTGTGGACACGTTTAGTTTTTTTTTTTTATGTGTGTATGTGTAAAGCATATAAATATTACTTTTGCATGCATTTAAATTTATAATGTATTAAAAAAATAATTAAATAAAGCTTTGGCACCTTACTTGTTTGAAGAGGCCATCTGTAAACATGCTGAAGACGCACTGACCTGAAATGTAATTTGATCCACAACACACAGACATAATTATTTGCTGTGTCCCTAAATTACCTGTAAACATTTACATGGACGTAAAACCTATTTCGACACGTAATATACCATGGTTGGGGTGGCTTCTTAGAGATTATTTATTACAATGTGTACGAGTGGTAGAATATTTATTTTTCCCTGAGGGTTTTTGGCAGTAAAACTAAACAGAAATGCAGCAAATCATTATCTATTTGAGGCAATTAAGTAAAGCCACAAGACATGTTCTACTCTGCTAATTGAGGTGAGGTAATTACTGTGAACCTGTTTATGAGTGACTGGTTAATAAGTCAGTATAAAAACAAGGCTCAGTTTACACAAAGAATTCTGAGTCCTGGTGTCAATAGTGGAAGTTTTTACACCTATTCCTACCAGAAACCCTGCCTGGCAGTGGCTTACTGTTACAGCAGATCCATATAATTGTGTTGGGYTTTTCTTTCTTTATTACCCCAATAAATACTGAAAAAACAAAACTCGTTTCAAGAGATTATTCTTGTGTAAGCAGGGCCTAAGTGGCCGAAGTTTCGCAGAACTCCAGTGTTTATTTTATAGTCATTTACACATTCATTTATCTCCAGTTTCTTCTGGGCTCCTGGTTTTGCTGCAGACAAGCCACTACCACCACCCTCTGCAATTCCCAGCATGGTGCCCTTTTCTGCCCCAAGCCTCTCAGAGTGTTGACACCAGACCTCCCCCATTTTTTTCCATTGACCTCACTGTAGCAGTCCGCCTTACACCCCGCAGCCCCCCTCTCTTTGACCTACTGCCCCTTAATCGCCCCCCTGGCCATGCCTCCTTGTGCCCTCCTGCCCGTTGCCTGCCCTCAACTACTATTCCTCGTCTCCCCTGGTCCCAGGGGAGCAGACACAGCTCCCGATTATCTCTGTGTGGTAGCCTCTGTTTTGTGCCCTGATTAAAGAAGCAGCATGTGGTCTGTRTGAGCGTCACTGTGCAGACGCTGCCGTTGGGCTAACGCTAACATTACATGCTTAATCATTTATGTCTGGGAGATGGGCACAAAAGGCTTGGAGGGGGGCGGGAGTTGAGGTAGGTGGTGTTGGGGTATTTATCAGCGGCGCAGATGCACTCAGACGCACATGCTGCCAAGATAACGTTCCCCGTGCTCGGTATGGCAGGAACAGGGAGGCTATGTCTTTAGAAAACTTAAATATTATAAAAATTGGTAACTTGGAGACTTACAGTTTGCTTTGATAGTGTAACATGTTTTGTGCCAAATATGTGTCGTTTAGTTACCCAAATATGCTGTGGAAATGCTATCTCAAAGTTCCAGGTGTGTAAATAATAGCATACAGGAACTGTCCTAATCCCCTTTCCTCTGCTCCTCTTCCCTCCCTTGCCAAGCAGCCTGTCCCTCCAACACAGACATCAACACACGATCGCTCTCTCACAGCCAGCCAATAAGCGAGCACCAGTTTCCCCATTGCTTGCCACTCAGCGCCTTGTTGCCGGGACAACGGGAAGGCATGAGACCCACTTTACTTGAGCTTTTTAAATTTGGCGTTGACTTCTTTTTAAATAACAAAATCGCCTCGATTTGTAAAGTTGCGCCCTTCGGCATCCCGAGGTGGACGGCGAATTCTGAATTTCGTTCCACCTCACTTTCTTACTGAAATTCTCCCAATTGAAATCTACAAAAGTTATTTTCAGTGAAACTTGTTGTTCTGTGCACATTTTCGTCTTTTCGTAACACTTAAAAGAGGGCTCTCATTTAGTGGTTTTCTGTTTGTTTTGTTTTGGTTTTCTTTCAGGTATACAATGAGGAGGAAGGCCTTTTTCTGGGTTCTGTTTACGCTGGTTCTACCCTGTGCCAGCGTGGAAGGTAAGCATGTTGTCACAAAGCAAAACCTATCACAGAACACCTAAAATAAAACTTTATTTAAAATGAGGAGGGTTTCTCTAAGCATAAATAGTCATTTGAATTAWGTGCTTCTCTAAATGGGTTTTTATTGTAAAGCCATCAGAAACTTAAAGATTGCTGAATGTCACAGATGTTCACTAAAGATACATTCAGTARCTAAACTAGTGAGACATTTACAGCTCGCCGTTTCTCTTTATTTTAGTCACCATGGTGCATCTCAGTCCCTGTGTCTTTCCCTGCCTTCGTTCTTGTGTCTTGCAAGTGTAGACCAAAAGAAATCACACTTTTTTTTTCCTTTCACCACCCCTKCCTCCGTCTGYCTCCCTTTCATCTGCTGTCTGGCACTGTTATTTTAAACCGCTGTATGGATGGTGGATTGCAATGGAAAGCTGTTTTTTTTACTATGGCAAGCCATGCAGTTTCCCCCCTCATGTTTACTTTATAGACACATGCTGTGCATACATGTACATCAAGGATCATACCTTACRTCAGTGATCTTTCATTGCAGGATTTATGTTTACTAAAGATGGAGTTTGTCGGTTTTTTCTTTTTCAGGGSAAAACGGTGGAAGAGAGGAGTGTTTGTGTGACGGACCATCCTGCAGCAGTGGGGAGCGATGTTATGGCCAACAGTGCTTTGCTTCTCTGTCGGTTCTGAACGGGACGTCGGTCTTTCAGAGGGGCTGCGTTGTGGGTAGTGAAGATGGGTCCGTGCGCTGTGGAAACTCACCAACTCCTGAGCTGGTGGTGAAGTGCTGCTTTGGGCATTTGTGCAACATAAACATCTCCTTGCAGTTCCCAACGAAAGGTGAGGAGTCTGCCCACAGACGAGAGGCTTTATCTAAACTCAGAACAAAAAGTAAGGAAATGTGTGTTTTTAGGTTATTTCTTTGTTGTAACAGTGCTTCTTGGCAATTTATCGGACACCTGATTGGCAGCACCCGAGGTTACCAGAAGCTCAAAACATGTCAGTAACAACAGCAAAATAAGCTGTTTGTCAGAGAAGATTTAAAAAAATTGTTCATGTGTGCAACCCACTCAGCTGCACTGCTCATTCCATGAACGCATTTTCCTTACAAATGTGTTTAAAAAGGAAAAGAACCAGCTTTCCAGCATTATACGATTTATTGCCAAGAAGCATTGTTACAAAGAAATAATCTACCAAATTTCCTTAATTTTTGTTCTAAGTTTATTATCATTCRGCCTCTTGTCAGTCATATAGCATGCTATCAGTGTTTATATTTCCAACATGAGARTTTTCTTTAGTGTAGTTTCCTTATAAAGGAGTGGTTGTACAATTCAAGTTACATATTTTAGGCAGTGGAAGAGTTTTGCTCTGTACTTGAGTACAGATCTTTTAATATACAGTAAATCATGTGTTACTATCCAAGTGGTTTGGACCATTGACAGTGTAAATTATAGCCTATAGTTATCACTATTATTATATTAATTGTTTGTTAGGTTAGGGCAGGGGTCTGCAACCTGCGGCTCTGATGGCCACATATAGCTCTTTGGTCCCTCTGCAGTGGCTCTTTGACAATGTGACCAAACATAACAGAATTATTATTGGGGGAGGGGGGTTGTACCCACAACAGATATCAATTTGTATGCAAATATGTGATCAATACTACTAATAAAAAAAGTAAAACATGTTAGCTCATGTTAGCTTGTTGTTTACTTTAATATTCCAATTTTCTTTTTATGATCTTTCTCACAAATCCATCAGAATTGCCTTTAAATAATTTGAAGACTACATAATGATAAGAATTAGAAAAAAAATGCCTGAATAATTCAGTTGTACTAGTTTTTATGAAATTCTGTATAAACAATATACAGTATTTTTCTTGTTTGTTTACATGAATATGCTTTTTTTATTTGTCCTGACATATTTAATAATAAATAATATAATAATAATAATTTTTTTGTTTTATAATGTCACCTACACTGATCATAAAGATTCATGAAAAGGCCTTGAAAAAGGCCCACAGACCACCAGTTGATAATCACAGTTGTAGCTTGTTTAGTGGCTCTGAACACATTTTATTAGTGAGACAAGGAGCACAAATGGCTCTTTTGATCGTAAAGGTTGCAGACCCCTGGGTTAGGGTGTCCATATTAATCATCAGCGTATATTTCCTGGAGGGATTTATTTTAAGAACAGGACTGAAAAAGTTCTAATGTTGTGCAGGATATCGTTTCAGTCGAAGTTTATTTTTGAAAGGAGGATGGTGTTGGCCAGAAATCCATTTAATAGTAACAGGTGTTGGATTTCAAAAAGGAAAACAAACTGAAACGTCTGTGGCTTCTGTAGCGGCTGACCAGTAAGGAGATGTTTTCCACCTACATGTTTTCTGATGTGAGTGAATGTCATTTAATTTAAAGTAATGGTGTTGGTCTAATGGATTTTTTTCCCCCCATATCTCTGCCTCCTATCAGATGTCGAACAGTCTGCAGGCAGACCGGTCCTCAGGGACCAGGAGTGTGTATGTGAGGGAGATGTGTGTGAGCCTGACCATCGCTGCACAGGCCAGCAGTGTTTTTCTTCTGTGAAAATGGTCGACGGGGCGGCCGTCCAACAGAAGGGCTGCCTGAGGGACGACAAGGAGGGCAGAACCACCTGTGCCACACCACCCTCATCGGTTCATGTTGTCAAGTGCTGCCAGGGCCATCTGTGTAACATGAACGTCACCGTGCAAGTTCCTGAGAAAGGTGACTTTGGACACGCTGTACAAATTTGTGYTAGCTTCTGTCGCATAACTTGGGAACAGATTTAAAATGAGTCTTTTTTTTAAACATAAACTGTAAATATTTACRAGCTTATTTTCTTGCAGAATCTTTTACAGAAGGAAAAATCAAGCCCCCGATCGAAGACGAGCACGAGTGCGTGTGCGAGGGCATCTCGTGCGTGACGGGGGATCGCTGCAGGGGCCATCAGTGCTTCTCATCCCTGACAGTCAATGCTGGCTCCCCAGTGTATCAGAAAGGCTGCTTTAAGGTGTATGAGCAGAGCACATTGACTTGCAAGACCCCGCCGTCCAGAGACCAGATTGTCGAGTGTTGCCAAGGTCACCTGTGTAACTTGAACAGCACTGTGGAGCTTCCCATCAGAGGTACGGCACAAAAATGTCCGCAATAAATCAGAAAAAAAAAAAAAAAACATCTAAAGCTGAATTTTTCAGCTTTTCTTGTCATTTTGATTAGCACAGTTCAGAGCATATCTTAACGTGATAATTAAGATCTGCAAAAAACAGCTATAACTAGTAAAATATGTTTTTATTTTTGACAAACGTCACAATAAAGATGGTGTTAGAGGGACTCTGTTCAGCTCAAAAATAGCTCTGTTGAACAAGTTCCACCATGTAAGAAAATGTGACATTTAGCTGGTTCTCATTTCTGTTATGTTTTAAAAAGCTTTTTTTTCYTGGCTTTTGGCATAATATATGATAGTATGACATGTAGATGGAAGAAAAGTTTGACTTWACTTAACAAAATGTGCTGTGTAAAGTCACAGGAACTGCAAATGCACCCCATGTTTTAAAATCTAATCAAGTCTGGGCTCTGATTTAGTCTTTTCTTTTTTTAGTCTTTGTGCTGACCTGTGGATTATTCCTTTTTTTATCTGAATAACCATTACTTACCTGTTTATTCCTGATTTTCTGTCAGACTCTTAAAACTTCTTCCCCAAAGTTGGCTAGTTTGCTAGTTTTTTTTATTCCCCCTTCTCAAACTAAAGTCACAGTTCAGACAAGAAACACTGTCCTAAAGCAAAATACTTCCACTGGGTTTAAAGTTATTATATATCTATTWTAGATAGATGGACTAACATATTTTATGTTTTGTTGTGCCTTTTTGCACCAAAAATACCATCAGAATTTAGGTAAAAATATTCCACTCCTCGCTCAGGCTTTACCCAAACCGTTCCTCTGCTGTTGCAGGTGGAAGCATCCATGAGGAATAGTTTTACTGACCATAATTATTTAAATTAGGCCAGGTGTATACAAACCACTTTTTACAATGAAATAAAAGGGATTAGTCATTTCTGAGCATCCACATTGACAAATACGATATAAAAGTCAAGTAAATCAGATTTAAAAAAAATATTATTTCACTTGAGCAGCAATAAACTAAATATGTTGCATTTTTTTATACTCAAAGTATTTACAGCGGGTAAAATAAGTATTGAACACGTCACCATTTTTCTCAGTAAATATATTACTAGAGGTGCTAATGACATGAAATTTTCACCAGATGTCGTAACAACCCAAGTGATCCATACATACAAAGAAATCAAACCATAAATGTCCAGAAATGAAGTTATTTGTAATAATGTGGAATGGCACAGGGAAAAGTATTGAACACATGAAGAAAGGGAGGTGTAAAAAGGCATGGAAAGCCAAGACACCAGCTGAACTCTCTCAGTAATTAGAAAACAAGCCTGCCCCTTGTCAGTGCAAGTTAATATCAGCTGGTTCAGTCCCAAATGATGGCCAGGTATCACACAAGAACCATCTGATGATGGGTAAAAGTAAAGAGCTCTCTCAAGACCTTCACAACCTTATTGTTGCAAAGCATAATGATGGCATCGGTTACAGAAGAATGTCTAAACTTCTGAAGGTTCCAGTGAGCACTGTTGGGGCCATAATTCAGAAGTGGAAAGAACATCATTTCACCATAAACCGACCACGACCAGGTGCTTCTCACAAGATTTCTGACAGAGGAGTGAAAAGAATTATCAGAAGAGTTGTCGAAGAGCCAAGGACCACTTGTGGAGAGCTTCAGAAAGACCTGGAATTAGCAGTTACGATTGTTTCAAACACAATAAGTAATGCACTGAACCACCATGGCCTGTATGCACGCTCACCACGCAAGACTCCACTGCTGAAGAAACAGCATGTTGAAGCTCCTTTAAAGTTTGCTGCACAACATTTAGACAAGCCTGTGTAATACTGGGAGAATATAGTCTGGTCAGATGAGACCAACATTGAACTGTTTGGATGCCAGAATACACATCATGTTTGGAGGTCAAATGGCACTGCACATCAGCCCAAAAACATCATACCAACAGTGAAGTTTGGAGGTGGGAACATCATGGTGTGGGGCTGTTTTTCAGCATATGGTACTGGCAAACTTCAAATAATTGAAGGAAGGATGAATGGAAAAATGTACAGAGATATTCTTGATAAAAATCTGCTTCCATCTACCARGATGATGAAGATGAAACGTGGCTGGACATTTCAGCAAGACAATGAGCCCAAACACAAAGTCAAGGAAACTCTCAGTTGGTTTCAGAGAAAGAAACTAAAGCTGCTGGAATGGCCCAGCCAATCACCTGACCTGAATCCAACAGAAAATCTATGGAAAGAACTAAAGATCAGAGTTCATAGAAGAGGTCCACGAAACCTTCAAGATTTGAAGACTGTTTGTGGAAGAATGGGCCAAAATCACACCTGAGCAATGCATGCCACTAGTTTCTCCATACAGGAGGCGTCTTGAAGCTGTCATTGACAACAAAGGCTTTTGTACAAAGTATTAGATAAATTTCAGTAAGTGTGTTCAATACCTTTTCCCTGTGCCATTCCACATTATTACAAATAACTTCATTTCTGACATTTATGGTTTGATTTCTTTGTATGTATGGATCACTTGGGTTGTTACCGACATCTGGTGAAAATTTCATGTCATTAACACCTCTAGTAATATATTTACTGAGAAAAATGGTGACGTGTTCAATACTTATTTTACCCGCTGCATTCCTCCGTTCTTATTTACTGAAAAGCTTTTATCATCAGTTTAAAATGGTCTCTTCTGGCTGTTCTGTTGCACCTTTGTACGGTCACACTCCTGGCAGCTTGTAATACAGATAGAGGGGGGAGTTGGAGGGCAACTGTCCTGGTTTAGAATATTATTTAGTCATGGTCTGCTACTTCCTCTGTCCTCTCAGAGCTGGCTGACAAGAGCCCAGAAAGTGAGGCCACTGAGGGGTTGAAGACTGGCAGCTGCACACAGAGTTGTTGTCTTGTGTTGTTACTTCTACCGGTAATTTCCTTTTTAAAGGCAGCTCTTTATGCAACATTTAGAACACATTTGAGACTAGAACTGAAGTGAAACAATGTCAGTTAAGTGGAAATATTTCTGTCAGCTTGATTTGGAGCACTAACTGTTCGTTGTTTACTGAAATATAATACTTCTCAAATAAACTCTGGGTTACCACAAAAAAAAAAAGCAGATGGGAAGAGTGGAAGATTTCTTGCGGCCCACGTCAACGGGTTTGGCTCGAGTCGTAAGCCCCCCAAACAGAGTTGATAGTTCTGCGTGTTGAGGAAGAAGGAGTTCTTTATGCGAGTTGAGGAAAGTGGGAACATTGTCGGCGCTGCAGGCASAGCAGAGCTGCCTCTGCCTCGCGCGTATGTGGAAAGTGTGAACGCTCGGTTCATCGTGTTGGCCTTTTTTGGACGTGATGAAATCCACTCTGTGGATGAGTTGATGCGTATTTATTTCTGTTATCCATCTAACATYGCTGAAAGGTCTACAGAGTGCTGCAAACATATGGACTGTGCATGTTTTGGCTTAAAAATGTCAAATTCAATCAACCTAATGAAGATTTTCTTTAAAGCATTTATTCCTAAACATGTTTTTCTTTACATGCTGCAAGCAGACACAGATGATTATCTTTAATTAAACTTTATAACTGTGAAAGAAAACCAAAATAACATTTTTTTGGTTTGTTTTTATAGCTGACGAGCTGTCCAGCTACATTGTGACCACACTGGTTATTGCCATCGTGGCGCCCATCGTTGTTCTCATCTTCCTCTCCGCCGTGGCTATCTTCGTGTTCAGACGCATTCACCGCAACCAGATGGAGAGGCTGACGTCCCGAGATGCCGAATACGGAACCATTGATGGACTTATAGCCTCTAATGTGGGGGAGAGCACTCTGGCGGTGAGTACTGCAAACTGTGAGGGAGACAAACTGTGTTCGGGAAATGAGCAATAAATCATTTTCGAATCGTTAGAAAAATCAATACTACAATCAATCGCGATGGACTGGTCTTTTAGACTTTAAGGCCGGTCTAATACCACTTCTTTTTTGTTAACCCATTTCTTTTCTTTTTTAGGCCATAAAATATAAAATGGTGAGCGCTTTTAGTGTGGATTTGAGCAGGACAATAACTTTTCTTTTATATTCCATCTGAACCAGTAAATGAAACAAGATAAAGACGTCAATTCTAAAATATTGTTAGTTCATAAAGAACTGAACAGACCATTAAAAGTACTATGACAATAAGGATGTAAATTCATCTGGATTTAGCTCCTACTTGTAGCTAAAAGTGCACACAGAAAAAAATAGAAATAAAGGTTGCAAYAGGTTTTATTGACATAGAAAGAGGTTACACTCCATCTTATCCAAATGATCACATATGAGGATTATTCTTTATTAAAGTGTATTTTATCCCCCTGTGAAAAGATAACTCCACCCCAAGGCGAAATTTGAAAAATGTATCAAAGTGGGTAGGGGAGGGGGTGTGGGTAGGGGAAGGGGGGTTAGAGAGCGGAGGTGTGGCCAGCACGAGAGAACGTGACAGCTAGCATTAGCATAATTG